TCATCGGTTCGAGTCTCGAAGGCGTCAACGCGCCTTCATAGCAACCGAACCGAAACAAAGACTCGGTTTCAACGATTATTCAGAAATCATGACTCAAGTCTACGTATGTAGACAGTGTATCTATGTTTGTACAGTTTTTTTTCGCGGGAGTGCATGCAGGAAAAAACAAGATCATCGTATCGTTCAGCTAATGTACCTGACTTATGCATTTGACAAGTGTATGATATTTGCATCTGCATGAGCAATTAAGTCGAAATCCTAGAAGTGAAAAAGATTCGAAACAGGAGAGCTCGATCAAAGAAATATCCTCTTTATGATTTAGGAAAGTTGAACTTTGAACGGATCTTACGGTATTTTTATCAGTCTGCGAGAAAAATTTCACTTGTTGCTCGAAGAGCACCGAAATCTGTTATTCGGCGGGGTATGCATAAAGTACACACTCGTTTATCGACGTTGATAACAAAAGTAAATGGTGGTGAACAAATTCGAGAACTGTTTGGATTAGGCAATATTATTTTTATCAGAGACAAAGTTGCGTACCCGTTGCACATTCTTTCGAAGAAGGACGAATCTCAATCAAGGACGTACTCACATGCTTTCGTTCGAAATGCGAACGATATATGTACATTTTCACAGTTGACACCGGCGATGACGCGTTATTAAAGAAAACTGCTCGACGCACTACGCGAGGAGCGGCCAATTAGACGAGGAAACGTTTTGCTTTTATTGGCATCAAAGAAGCGTCAGTGAACAGCTTATGTTTACGTGGCAACAAGAACGATCAATGGATCGATCGAAATAAATCTCGATATGCGGCAACGATAACGCATGAAAACCCTTCCGCGTGAAAGGACGGAAGAGAGCTAAAGAGGAAAAGTATGGATCGTCCTTCCTTATCGAGCCAATTCAACCTTACCACCAATTGCATTTCTTTCGAAATGCATCGCGAAATGAATTGTGTGTACACAAAAGAAATATGGTGCGCGAGGCGGGATTTTTCGCTGACAATAAGAAAACCTTGCGGCCACGAACGCACACACCGACGGCCTTTCATTAAAGGAAGGGCACGCACTCCCGAGCTCTTTCGAGTCGTCTGGAACCTCCTGAGATAACGTGACATTACGGTCAACCGTGCGAGCAGTATGCGCGTGAACGTCGGAGAACGCGCACCTTCTCTTTCCTCTTTTCCGTCATTCTCTATTCCCTCGCTCGTCGGACTATAGTTCCATTGAAAAATCCATTCCCCCCCCC